ATTGAAGTCTCGTAAGGTGAAACCCTGTGGCTTCCGAAGCCCCCCCCCCCGGGGACACAGTTTGCGGAACGTCTCCGCGGAGATAATGGAATATGAGGACCAATGTTCCCTCGAAGCTGTGGAGTCTTGTGAGCAGAAATTCTACTTTGTGAGCTACTGGCATTAAAGTTGTGAGTGAGCAGTTTTGTTGCTGCATAAATCAGTTTGCTCGGGAGCCCTCCTTCCTGAGCTAAGACAATAATGTGTGAGCTGGAGGCTAAAAAACTGTGAGCTAGCTCATGCTAACTCAGCTTACAGAGAACACTGATGAGGACCTCGTGTCTATCTCCAGGCTGCAGGGGGACCCCTCTATAAGGACGGTGATGTGCACCTTGTTGGGGCCATCGGGGGGCAACTTACATACCAGGTGTTGCGCCGATAGGGTGTGGAGATCGACGTGCTGCTCCGGCGTGCTCTGATGAGTGGATGACTTCTGGCATTGGCTTTTGGAGTGGCAAACCCAGGACATGTGCCCAGATTTGTTGCACATTCTGCAGATGGCGTTTCGGAAATGGCACGACCTGAGTTCATGGTCCTCCCCACAGCTGGCACACGAAGCTGAAGTGGTAGAAGATGCCTTGCTTGAGTTGGAGGACAAGTGATGTGGGCGCTGAGATGACCACTGTAGTACCTCTTACTCGTCCGAGGCGTCTGAGCCAACAGTCACTTGGGTGCGATGGACTGCCTTGGCGCGGCGGTCTTGATGGGCCTTCTCATAAGCAGTTGCCTCCCGGATCACTATCTAGGTCCAGGTCATCCTGGCTGACCAGCCTCTTCTGGAGCTTAGGCTTCCTTAGTCCCACGAGGAACTGGTTGAGGAGAGCTTCAGTTAGGTTGGAGAAGGAACACCTGGTTGCACCCCAACACAGAGCCGCCAGGAAATCCGAGGCGGTCTCGTCAGGGTCCTGGACTTTCGCAAAAAAGTCTATGCACTCCACAATCTTCATTGGTTTGGGGGCCAGGTGGTCGGTCACGCCTTGACCAAAGAGTCGTAAGACTCATTTTTGGTCAGCCTGGGTGCTATTAAGTCTTTAAGCAGGAAATGGGCCTCCATGCTACAGTGGTGTAGAAGGTAAGGTTTTTTCATACCTGGGTCTGCTACATTGTGGATGGTGAAGTGGCTCTCAAGGGTCTCCAGCCGCGTTTCCCACTGCGAGGGTTGGGAGATATCGAAAGCTGGGAGACTCTCTGATGCGGCAGCCATCTTACAATTCCACGTTGTAGCAAACGGCGGGAACTAGCGGGCGTAGAGAAGGAGTGGGGCAGTGCTGCTCTTGGGATCAGCGGTGCGATGCTCAGAGCTGGGAGCAGTGAGATGAGCGGCGCTTTCAAACAACGCACGATGCCAGCGGTGGTGGTGATTTCAGCGCGGCGACTCAAGGCGATGCCTGGAACGTGGTCTCTGTTCAGAGGGAGATGAATCCCACCTTCGTCGCCAGTGAAAAGTACGCAGACAGATTAGTGATTTCAGCTAGCGTACTTTATTAGATCAAGAACAAGACAACTTTGGCCGACTCGCAGGCTGGCTTATATGTCCAGTGGAACCACCACCCATAACACACACCCACTTCCCAATAGGTTATTTACAGTGGCCGAGAGTTCCATAGGCTCTTGGCTGGGAACCTAGCCCACTGATTGGTGTGGGCTAGGATCCGCATAGTCCATTGTCTCTTTGAGCGAAGCTCGACATTTGCTTTGGACCGCGTGGAGCCCGAGCTGGCCACACGGTCTGAACTGGATATATTACAGTTTCATACATAAGTGCTGTCAAGTTGGAACCAACTAAGACAATCCAAGCAAGGGGCTTTCAAAGCAAGTGAGAAGTGAGGTGATTTGTTGGCAAGATTGGTATTTTTTCTAGCCTCCTGTTTTTGCTACACAGGGCAGTTATTAAGTTCCTTGCTTGTCACAGTACATAAGAACATAAGAAGAGCCCTGCTGGACCAATGGTCCATCTAGTCCAGCATCCCATCTCACACAGTGTCCGACCAGTTCCTCTGGATGGGCAACAACAGGGCATAGAGGTTGAGGCCTTCACCTGATGTTGCCTCCTGGCTTTCAGTCACCACAGCTGGTAGCCATTGATAAACTTATCTTCCATGAATCTATCTAATCCCCTTTTAAAGCTGTTTATTCCTGTGGCCATCACTACATCTTCTGGCAGCAAAATCCAAATTTTAATCACTCTCTTTGTAAAATAGCATTTCCTTTTGTCTGTCCTGAACCTACTGGCTATCAGATTCATTGGATGCCCTCAAGTTCTAGTATTTTGGAAGAGGGAGAAAAAATTCTTTGTCAACTGTCTCCACCCCATGCATAATTTTATAAACGTCTATCATGTCCTCCCTTACTCATCTCTTTTCTAAAGTGAAAAGTCCCAGACTCTTCAGACTCTCCTCATAGGGAACGTGCTCCAACCCCCTAATCTTCTTGGTTGCCCTCTGTACTTTTTCCAGCTTTGCTAAACATGACTGCGCTTGTTTTGGTGAATTTCAAGCTCAGCATAACTGCTCTTCAGAGTATATGAGGGTCTACTTGATTGAATGCTACATGTGCAATAAGCCAGGTCTGGGATCTTCACAGTCACACATACCTTTGGGGGAATCACATGCCAAAATACCCCAGTACTCAAGGAGGCTTGTGAGTACTGCAAGAGGTGCAAAGGGGCTTCAGGCTTCTCTCCAGCACTATTTTCCCAACTGGAAATGGCCATGGGGGCTTGTTTGCCTGCTATGTTTCTTTAGTCACATGATCTTAGGAGACATGGAAACAGAGAAAGGTTCACAGTCACATGTACAATTAAAGGACTCACATGGCAAAATGTCCAATGCTCACAAAGAGGCTTGTGAGCATTGTGAGAGGGGAGGAGGGGCTTCAGCCTTCTATCCGGCATCATTTTCCTGAGTGGAAATGGCCATGGGAGGTTGTTTGCCCCCTTCTCACACTCCACTCATGTGATCCCAGGACACAGAGAGCCAGACAAAGGGGCAACCTGCCTCCCCCATGGCCATTTTTGCTTTGGAAAATGGCGTAGAATAGAAGACGTAAGCCTTTTCTCTTCTCCTGCCATGCTATGGACCTCCACAAGCAACAGGCACTCCATCAGGTGAGGTCCCCATATGGTACATGGGACTTTGAGCCAAGATGGGGAACCCTCAACCCACCTTGCATCACATATATTATTTAGCTAGATCTAGAGGGGCACTCAGAGTGGCAGTTGCCCTATATACCAGTGGTTTTTAACTTTTCCAGCCATGGGGAGCCCACCTTTAAGCCCTCAGGTTGGGACTCAGTCAGCTGTACATGATATGAAATTATGTGACATTGCATTCATGTTGCAGGAAGAGAAGGAGCCAGTGTATCAGCTTACTAATAGGAATTGAGAACTCTACACAGCAAGAGGTCTTGGGGGTCCAATTGGCAAAGGGGGCTGGGCTGGGTAGGTTGGGGAAGTGAGAGAAGACAGGGGAGAGTTTTTACTGTGTGTGTGTGAACCTGCTGTGGTAAAAACAAGTCCTCTCCACCACTGAGTTACACCCCCTGCCTGTCTTGCTGCTGCTCTCATGCCCTGTTTGCAAGTTACAGCAAACGTACACTTGATTTTTTAAAAATACATGTATTAAGATACATAGCAGACGTTTCTCTGAACTGTCCTCCTTCAACATTTTTGAAAGGATGGTTCTTATGACTAATGAGTTTAGGCACATCCTTTTTCACTGGCAAATCTTAAAACAATCCCGATTTTCAGAAAGGGTGTGTAAGGGCATTCTCAGAATTTTTCCATAAGGGAGTACAAGGAGGTGTCCAGGAGAAACTATGCCAATGTCTTTTTGACATGTGGGTTCATGCTCTATAAAATGCCTGCAATCACTGTAGTGTGCAGCCCTGTGGGCTCCTCATTAGAAGCAAGCACCACTTCGTAGTTGTGTGGCCGACAGCATTTGCAAGAACCCAAGCAGATGCGACAACCTTGTAATGAGCAGAAATTTGCCCAAAGACTGAAGTAACAGTACTTGTGTGCCCTACAGCTTGCAAAAACTGTTCATTTTCTCCTTTAAAAAAGGAAATAAAACAGTACTGTTTTTTTAAAAAAATCTAGCCTCACCATATAATTTTGGCAGCCAGACAAGAGGCACAAGAAACAAAAGCCACCCAAGCAGGCTGAAACAAAAATGTCAGCCAGCTAATACCCCTGGAAAGCAGTGGACTTACTTCATTACTTGCATGGCATTTTTCAAAGGAACTGTACCGGCAGTGTATTGACATTTCTATTAACAGACCTGAGGGTGGCAAGACACACAGGCCATAGCAAAACCCTAGTCTCTTTTCAAAAAAATATTAGGGTTAGCAGTATTAAATGCAGCTTGCTGATAGCCCGGTTTTTTTCCAAGCAATGAACGGCTGCATGTATACACGTAGCATCTTAAGGCTACAGGATTTGAGCAAATGCCTTTACATACCTTTATCGCCTTGAGCAAGCCTTTCCTTTCTGTGTGCCTTTGGAAGTCGGAAGAGGAGCACTGCCTGGCAGGCCATGATGTACTTTGAACTAGAGACGACTTGTCTAGATCAACTTTGATCTACCCAGAAGAGAAAGGAGTAAGAGGGGGAAGGGAGAAAGTGGCTGTGGGGAAACCCAGTGGGAAGGAAGTCAAATGACCTCAGTCAGCATAGGTAGGTTAAGCCTGAAGGGGATCTCTGAGGCCTGGAGTGAGTAGGAATATGTGCCAGGACTAATTTGTTCACTGAGGAAAAAAGGTTAAAGTAATGCTGCACCTGAGTTCTTCTCTTAGCCACCTCCCCCAGCTTTAGAGTAGTCGGAACAGCAAACAACTGTACATCAGATTAGAAAAGGTGTGTTCTAATTAATGGGAGTACTGTGGACTCCCTTCTCAGCTGCAACTGTGTCTGTGTTTTTGTACTGGGTAGGAGGAGTACACTTCCACTGCTGAGCCCTGCCTGCTGGCACAAAAGGATTATTAAAGCAGTAACAGATCACCCTGGGGATTACTTGCAGGAGTTGCTGGGAGAAACTTTACTCTTTTCCTATGTAACAACGGGGATAAGGACAGCATGAGGAAGACATCATACTCAGGTGAGTAAAGAAAGGACTTCCTCAGGGGCTTGGACTGCATCAGCTGGGCTGTGCTGTACAGGAAGAGAAAGCATGTGTTAATTTTGTTTGATCTTCTCTCGGTGTGAGTTTAAGTATTCTGGAAAGCTCAGAGTTGTTTGCTGTAGATATGTGGGAAGAATACTGACAACACAACTGAGGGAAATGTGGGCAAAAGGTCTCAGTGTTTGTAGCTGGAACTTTCCAGGTGCCAGTTTGTATTTAAATTATTTATTTACTTATTTTATATCCTGGCCTCCCCCACAAGAGGGCTCAGGGCAGGTCACAACCAATGTTCCCTCTAAGGTGTGGAGTCTTGTGAGCAAGAATTCTACTTTGTGAGCTACTGGCCTTAAAGTTGTGAGCGAGCGCTTTGGCTGCTGCATAAATTAGTTTGCTTTGGAGCCATCCTTCCTGAGCTAAGGCAAAAACGTGTGAGCCAGAGGCTAAAAAACTGTGAGCTAGCTCACACTAACTCAGCTGAGAGGGAACACTGGTCACAACATTTTGTGTTGGGCTGAGAGAAGAACTGGTTTTGGTGGTTTTCGGATTGAAAGCATATGAAGAATGAATATGTGGGTGGGTCAAAGAAAGAGGGGTAAACTTCTGAGAAAGATGAAAGACAACTGAAGACAGAAGCCTCACCTAGTGAACTCTGGAAGCCCTACCGCAACTGAAGTAGGGACTAAAGCCCTATTGCACATACATAGAGAACCAAGATGTGTCTGTTTCTACTTCATAATGAAATCTGAGGTAGTTATATGTGTTTTCATGACAACTACACCATGTACTGTAAACCTTGGGCCGATCCTGCAAGCAGAGGTACTAAACTGTCAGCAGAAACTGCTTGCTTCTTTTAAAACTTAACTTTGCAGCCCCTGATGGCTAGGAACATAGATCTGTAGTATGTATTCCTAGACATCTACATTCCTGAAGGGTAGGTTGAAGTGAAACTTAATGAAGTGTGTGTTGTATGCATGCTAAGGAGGCAACTGTCATAAACTGGAAACAGTATTAATCTAGTATATAATGTCATTTGACATGAAGCAGAGATCTCTTCAGTGGCTTCCAGTCAGGGAAAATGGCGAGTTGACGCACCCTGAAAGAGCTCAGGGTGGACGGTGGATCTTGATTTTACTACTTGGTTTTTCTACGAAATTATCCAACTGTAACCTAGAGATGATTTCACACTTCAGTTGAAATAGAAATAATTTGACACATTGTTCATCTTTAAGCAGGATCTAGAGTGTATGAATAAAACAACCATATGTTAGCTCTGTTCCTCAAATAGCACACCATCACAACACCATAACTACACACATCTGAACTACTCTGATTAGTGTGTCAAACTGCAATGGAGGAGAGCAGGGTTCAAATTCCTGCTGAGCCATGAAGTTCACTCAGTGACTTGGGCCATTCACTCTCGTCTCAGTCTACCTCAAAAATTGCTGGGAGATCACCGGAGAATCATATACAGTGCCCTGAGCTGCTTGGAGGAGGGGTGGTATAAAAATGCAAAAGACAAAGGCAGACAACATTAAATTCAGTGCAGTCTTCTTGGATCAAATACAGACTAAATTTGTACAACTGTGTGTACATAATCTGTTTTTAAGCTCCCACCATCTCCAGCATGATGAAGATGGGTCCTCTAATGTTCCTGTCAAATTCATTTCAGATTATAAGAGACAGGAGTGGAAGTCCCCCAAAGTATGATGCAATTCAAAAGCCTCATCATCAGTGTGAGAGGTTTCCTTGGGAACCCAAAATGGTGACAGAGATCTCAGGTGGCAAAAGACATCAGGGAAGGTTTGGGGGGGGGGGGTTAGATTTTTTTTTAAACAATATCTGTTCATATAAAAACATTCTTGTACTTTTTGAGGGAATGACCCTTAGTACATTTAAGATTTTCTGCAAAAACCTGTGCCTAAGGTTACCAGCCTCCAGGTGGGTCCTAGACATCTCCTGAAATTATAATTGATCTGAAGGCTACAGAGATCAGTTACCCTGGAGAAACTGGTTGTTTTGGAGGATGGAATCTATGGGATTATACCCTACTGAGGCCCCTCCCCTCCCCCAAACCCATCCTCCCCAGGATCTACCCACAAATCTCCAGGACTTTCCCAACCTGGAGTTGGCAACCCTACCTATACCCTAGCTGTGGCTCCATTGCAAAGTTTTTAAATCTACACAGAGGCCACACATGACTGTTAAATAGCTATGCAGACTCTGAATTACAGGAACACATTATGATGCTCTGTTTTAGTACAATTGCAAGACAGTTGTATACCTTTTCAATAATCCCCCTCCTATTTTTTTCTCCAAAGCCAAGGCAGTGATATTTCATAGAATCACAGAGTTGGAAGGGCCCATACAGATCATCTAGTCCAACCTGCTCAGTACAGGATCAGCCTAGAGCACCCCTGACAAGTGTGTCCAGCCACTGCTTAGACATTGAGGGGGAGCTCACCACCTTCCTCTTACTGTAAAAAAAAGTTCCCCTAAAATCCAGCTGGTACCTTCCCACCCTTAATTTAAACCCATTATTTCAAGTCCTATCCTCTGCTGCCAACAGGAACAGCTCCCTGCCCTCCTTTAAGTGACAGCCCTTTAAATACTTAAAGAGAGCAATCATGTCCCCTCTCAACCTCATCTTCTCTGGACTAAACATTCCCAAATCTCTCAGCCTTTTGTCATAGGGCTTGGTCTCCAAGCCCCCGATCATCCTCATCGCTATCCTCTGCACGCGCTTCATTCTGTCCACATTCTTTTTGAAGTGAGGTCTCCAGAACTGCACACAATACTCCAGGTGTAGCCTGCCCAATGCAGTGTACAGCGGGACTATGACATCTAGTGATTTGAATGTTATGCCTTTGTTGATACGCCCCAAGGTCACATTAGCTTTTTTTGTTGCCACATCACACTGACTGCTCATATTTAACTTTTGGTCCACCCTTACCCAAAGATCTTGTTCACACACACTTCTTCTCAGAAGTGATCCCCCTTCCAGTATGTGTCTTCCTCATTTTTGTATGAAGATGTAGAAGTTGGCACTTATACTTGTTAAATTGCATCTTGTTCACATCAGCCCAATTTCCCAGCATGTTCAAATCTCATTGAATTCTATCTCTGCTGTGTTCACTGCTCCTCCCAATTTAGTGTCATCTGAAAATTTAATGAGTAGCCCCTCCACACCAGACCATTTATAAAAATATTGGAAAGTACTGGGCCCACAACTGTGCCCTGTGGCACCCCACTGGACACCTCCCTCCATTCAGATGAAATTTGATCTTTATTACCTAAGAGGTAGTCATTATGGTTATTGGCACTGATGGCCTTGTCACTGTTGGTTGCTTGCCAGGAAACTATTGTGACACAAAGAGGTGAATGAGCCTTTGGCAGCACAAGAGCATAAGATGGGGTTCTTTGTTTTCACTTTGGCAAAGTCATGAAGCATTTTTTTGAAATGAGAAGGTTCAGGAAAAGCTGGTATTGCATTTTTCAATTGTTTGGCTGTGGCACATTTTTTTCTTACATGGGAATAATGTGTCAGTACTACAGGCCTGAAGTTTGGTTCTGGTTTATGGTGACACGCTGGCGGATGCATCTCCCGGACCTCCCAGGGATGTGATCTGCGCACCAGTGGAAAGGAGGGGGGGGGCGACGGGTTGGGGAGGGCAGTGATGACACGTAGCAAAGTAAAAGAGATGCAGCAAGCAGAAACGGCATCCTGGGTGGGTATAAACATTGTGTCAATCACCCCCTTCCTCTGGCTTGCGTGTTGAGGGAGGCAAGATAAAGCATCAGCCAGGAAGTTTGCTTTCCCCAGGAGGTGCTTAAGTGTGAAATGAAACTTAGAGAAAAACTCCGCCCATGTCAGCTGTTTGGTGTTTAGGTGCTGTGGGGCTTGAAATGCTTCTAAATTTTTATGATCAGTCCAAACTTCAAATGGAACCCAAGTCCCTTCTTACCAATGCCTCCATGTGGTCAAAGCTAATTTAATGGCGGTAGCTTCTTTGTCCCACACTGCCCAATTTCTCTCGGCATTGGAGAACTTTTTAACACATAAGCAAAGGGGTGTAAATTCCTATCATCTCCTTTCTGTAAGATTGCCCCACCCATCGCCACATCCACTTGTACCACAAATTGCTTGGTTTCATTTTACATTTGACAAGCCTTTATTGGCATACGTTGGTTTTTTTATAATAATTTTTATTTGTTAGTTTAAGTGTACATTCACATTCCATTGTTTCATTTTGGGTATTTTAACATTTTCTCCCTAGTCCCTCCCCCCTCAATCTAATCTTCTTCTTTCAGCCAGGAGCACAGATCTTGTAGCTTCCACTGAATGTCTTCTTTCTGTTCCTCTTTTATCCAGTTCAAATAAAGGGACAATTTTCCCTTGATCCACGATGTTCTGACCTCCCATGGTAGATCCTGGTTGATTGTAGCTATTATATTTGACTGGACAGATTCAAACAGATAATTATTCCAGGTTCTTTCTGTCCATTTGCTTTTATCTTTTCACCCTATTGCTATCACTGCTTTACCGGCTAGTATAATTACTTTCAATAAATCTTGGTTCTTTTTCTCTATTGTCTCATTACCTAGAGTGCTCATCATCATCGTTTCAAAATATATTCAGCTTTACCTGAAAAAGCTCATCTATTACTCTCAATATAATTTTCCATAATTTTTTTAGCCTCGTGGCATTCCCACCACATGTAGGAGTACCATCCTTTCGCACTTTTACAATGCCAACAATTTGAGCTTAGTCCTGAAAACATGTTAGCTAAGGTGGCTGGGGTTCTGTACCATTTGGTGTAGAATTTTAGTTCAATTTCCCTAAACTTATGTATTTTTATTCCCTTAATTCCTTCCATTAATTTTTTTGCTTTTTGTTCTGTTATTAAAGTTTCTGTACTCCATTTTCCTTGAAGGTGACCAATTATTCCTTCTTTATCTGAGGTCATTTTCTTATATAT